CCCCTTGTTTGGAAATGAGTTTGTCCTTCTTAATAGTATCCACAAGAATGTTGTTAATCCTTCTAATGGTATCGTTATCCAGTATGCTGTTTAAGGTAGTAAGGTTCCACTGGTTATCATTCCAGAAATCTGACACTTTGGTAGAAGTTGGGTGGGGAACAGTCAGCTTGTCAGCAAGCTTCCCATCCCCCATCCAGTTGTCAAGCCAAAATTGAGGTTCCCTCTCCAAGGCCCCATATAAAGTAATCTTCAGCTTTATCTTTATGTTTAATCATGTGAGACCAGATTCTGGAGTCTCCCAATTTGGATGTAGCAAGGGTGGGATGAGAACCTCTGCAATACTTGCCTTTAAGAAAGATAGCCCAAAGAGACTCTTGAGCTCTAAAGTGTATCCACAACTTGCAAAAATTGATCAGGTGCAGATGCTTGAAGCTTCTGAAACCTAAACCTCCATTATGAGTAGGTTTACAGATAGAATTCCAGTTGGTCCAATGCTTCTGTGTTCTTTGTCCTGACCAAAGAAATCTATTGAAGGTTGTTTCAAGAAGCTGCTGAGTCCTCTTTTTCATAATTTTCATTTGTAGAATGTAGGAGGGGAAGGCAGACAGTACATGTTTTAGGAGAGTAATCCTTCCTCCATTTGATAAGAAAGAATTTGTCCAGTTAGTGAGCTTAGCTTGAATCTTAGTCACAACATCATCAAATTGGATTTAATGTAGGAGGGGAAGGCAGACAGTACATGTTTTAGGAGAGTAATCCTTCCTCCATTTGATAAGAAAGAATTAGTCCAATTAGTGAGCTTAGCTTGAATCTTAGTCACATCATCATCAAATTGAAGCTTGAATCTGTAGTCCAGAGCAAGACAGAAAATCATTGAGAAGGGTTTGGATTTATTTAGCAGCAGGTTTAGTGGCCTTAGAAAAAAGAATAAAATCATCTCCATATGAAAGATGGCTGATGGCAATGTTTGAACTGTGGTTGAATAGGTTGTGAGGAGATAGGTTTGGAATTTGGTTGAGAATAACAGAAAGATAGTTAAAGACAAGGATAAAAATAGTGGGGGATAGAGGGTCACCTTGTTTGATTCCCCTTGAGGCAGTAAAGAAACCATGTGTCTTTCCATTGATGAGAATAGAGTGGGCATTATTATTCAGCCTTCTTCTGATTAAGCTTATGAAGTCCATATTGAAGCCTCTAGCATGCAAAACCTCCTCAATGAAAACCCAGTGGATGGTACCTCAGCTTCCAGAGCATCAGTAGCAAAAACAGGAGTCTGGTAATGTAGGAGACACTTACCATTTGAGTTTCTGAGGACACCTCCAATGCCAGCAAAGGACCTATAGAAGC